AACATAAATAAAACGTAAGTTTAAAAACCACACAAACAAAATTAAAATCTAGGTTATTGTTAACTTTTGTATATATGAGGCAAGTTTTCAGCATAATTGATACACTCAATACCTACAATTTTAGTTAATTCGTCACGAAATATTAAATTAATTCACTTAGAAGGTCCGTTATTAAGGCTTTTGAAAGTTTTTGCTTTGCGAGCTGCTAAGAATTTTGATGAGTGTGTTTTTCTTATTTTCATTAGCTTTCTTCCACTTTCTGTGAAACTTTAATTAATTTACAATGTGTGAACAACTTTGAGACATAATTTCTACTTTATTTTATATTTATTTAAAAACTAATGCAAGTAATAGATTAAAAACTTAAAGGATGTCAACTTATTTGATGAGACCCTGTATGTTGTAGAAAGTATTGCCTACACGAGTTACATACGGAATTCTTAATATCATCTCGAGATGAAACTCGGTCATTCATAAGAAACGAAAGAAACGAGAAGTTTGCATTAGAAAATTTATTTTCTGCATCCTTTTAAGTAAAAAATCTATGAACCTATTGAAATTGAAAAATAAGTAATTCATTAACGAAAGTAGTAATGTTTTTCTTTTCTCCTCTTATAAGAGAATCGTTAAACTTTTAATAGAACTAGTAAACTTTTTAAAGTACTTTTGTAATTTTGTAGCCTTGCTGTATCTTGTTATTCCTATCCTTAAAAAAGAAGTGTAAACAAAATCGAATAAAAGGATTCGTCTTCTCATTTGAAACCAAATAAAATTTAACACGACTCAAAAGCTTTAACGAGACGCAAGCAAATGCGTTCACAACGGCAACACTGTTGCCAGCAACTGCACAATTATCTTTTCAGACGTCATTAACGAACATACAGTAACCAAACAGTGCATTAGGATTTCGTATGTTTTTTTTAATCCCTTTGTATATTTGAAGTAATCTTTTGACACCTTAATACTTTTTATATATAAAATATTTATAAAAAGATCTACTCACTTAGATATTACTTCACGGTGGATAGGTTTTTAAATAGCAAATTATTGAAACTTTTGAAGTATAAAACAGCAACACTCTCATCTGCATAGAAATTCTTTACTGACCTTCAGTAATCACATGCATCTATAATGTCGTAAACTGAGGTTTTTGCTTATTTAAATGATTCACGGAGGATAAAATCAATTTTTGTAACGCCTACATAAATGGTTATAAAAATTATTTCTTTTAATTTTTAATAATATTTTATATTGATTTGATTGCTTTGGATGTGTTTAATTTACTTAGTGAATTGCTATTTTTAGTATACTTTTACTATTTACCTCAGATATTTGAAAACATATAGGTTAACCTAGAAAGAGTAACAGTCACGGAGGATAGGTTTAAGACTTTTAAAACTGTAAAAAATAATTAATCTGTAATTAAATTTTTAATCTTTTTAAAACAAAAAATTGCAAATCACCCTGTGTAAGTTAAGTGTGAGGTACGACAAAATTCAAAATACTCAAAGCTTGGTTTAACAAAGCTTGAATTGAAAATGCAATTAGGACTTAAATTGTCAGCAAGGATGTTGCGGATATCAAAAGAAACATTTTATTACACACAGACACTTTGTATTATAAATTCTGAAACTACTATTTTAAATGAAAATTCTTTGTACGTGTTCTATTATTATTAAAATAATAGTATATTATGTATCAATATGCATACAATACTTTTTTAAGGACAAATACTTATTTTTAATTAAAAATGATATAAATTAAATATTTGTTTAAAGCGACATCTACAAAACAATAGAGTAACCATTCTTGGGAATCTTGGGAATTGTGTAAATCGAAATATTTCCCTTGAAAATGAACTAACAACAGTTTTTCACAGTGATAGTGAAGAAAATGTTTTATGGGCACTTTACAGTGGAATCTTCATATAAAAATGACATTTGACAGCTGTCAAATAACTTAAAACCAACCTCATAAAACGTCATAAGTGGGAGTAGAAAAAATAAATAATTTTTTCTAAATTTAATTACAAAACAAGGGTAAAAACAGACAAATAATTCCTGTATAAAGAGCATATTTGTTTTACAAATTTTGGCCCACAATTTGACTATATACATATGGTTTCAGAATGAATATTTTATTAGTGCTTTTAAAATAATTATAGCTTTGTTATATCATGCACATATAATATATAAGTCTTTATTTTACTGCTTTTGTTTTGTGTACTTAATGTTTATGCAAGTTACGTCGCTTGGGAGTAATAATGTACTTTACTTACTCCATAAACCGCAAACGAGAATTAATATTGAGTAATTTTGTATACTTCTTGCGTATGTAGTATTTACAAAGTATGTCTTTTCTATTAATAATTATAGGCTACTAAACCATAATTTTGATGTTTTCGTAATAAAATAAAATTACAGGTTTCCTGAACACAAATTATTTTAGTGGAAGTTTTTTGTACAGAAAGGCATGAATAATAAAAATATACGAATAAATAAGAATTAAGCTCTGCCCTTTTAATATAATTCTTTATGCCTTGAATGACTGCTTTTTCCTGGGTCTTCTTCTTTTATTTTTATTTTGCCCTTTTCTTCGACATCTGTCATTTTGACATCTATCATTTTTTTGGATTTATATTTTGTTGGGGCCCCTATGATTTGTTCTTGGGTTTTTTCCAAAGCTTGGTTATGTTTCTTGTGTTACTATTTTTTTCTTTTAGGAACTTTTTTGTTGAGATTTTTTTTACTATGCATTTTAAAATTTTAACGTTACATGATATTTTTTTTTAATTTAGGGTATGTTCCGTAAGTCAACTTGGTTGGTTTGGTTTCGGTTAAGGTGTCCCGTAAATGAAAAAATCCTGAAAATTATGTAGTTAAGAAACGCGGTTCCTGAAAAATAGGTTAACCAATCGTTACCGAAACGACCGACGCTGTATGATCGGTTAAATCGGTTACCAGTGCTGCAAACCAAATGGAAACAGTGTTCCCCTAAACAAAATTACTGTTTTTTGTTGGTTATCTAACCTAAAAATTTAACACAGGAGCAGACTTCGCATACAAAATACGTTTTGTCCAAAAATAATTGAATTCAGTATATAGGGTGTTTTAGGTTTGTTTATGTAACTATAGAAATATTATTAAAAATATATGCAAGTTGTAGTTTTTGACACAAATAAAAGTTTCAATAAAAAATCTTAAAAACTTTGCAAGTTGGGTTATGTTTTTTCAAATAAAGGTGTCCCGTAAATATGAACTAACCGAGAAAACCAGGAATTTATTTCAGTAACCAGACCGGTAACTCGTGTGTATTTACGGAACATACCCTTAAAATAAGAGTTGGGGCTGTCTTTTGAAAATTTGGCATTTAAGCCTTTTCAGGTTATGTATCTGTCAAAGTATAGTCAACGAAAGAAATCATATTATGTTTAGGCGTTAAAAATGTATAAATCTCTATAACATTACAATAGCAATGGATGGTTTAAGAATATAAATACTGCATTTAATGAAATTCCAAAGTGTATGGTGCCAAATAAGTAATATTTTTGTGCATTTGGTCCAAATATCTGGTTTTCTTCATAAAATAATTTTAACTAAACAGCATTTATTTAAAAAATCTAGCTTCTCTATTATGGAATAAGAATATCTGTATTAAAGGTAGGTTAATATATTATAACAAAAATATCATCTAATTTTGTAATTTTAAGGTTAGAAAAATTTATTTTGACCAAAATAAATATTTTGGTAAATATATGGTATTTAAAAATGTGGTAGTTTTTCTTATACAGCTTAAAGTGTACCTACATAAAGTTTTGTCAATACAAATAGTTAAAAAGCTTTGACTGAATTTGATCTACATCAACAAAATCATTATAACTTTAAAAAATTTAATAAATCACATGTCATGGGAGTATTAGATAGTTTCACATTGCAATTTTTTCTAAAAATTGTTTGTTTTCTTATAATCCAACTTAAAGTAAGTATACCGAGAGGTATGCACAAGTTTTGTCGTTAGAAGTATAAAAGCTATAATTTAATTTGAACTATATTCAACAATTATTTAGTATACCTATATTTATTTATTATTTATTAATATGGTTAACACAGTCTTTTAAATAATCCACTTATTTATTTTGGTAAAAATAGATTTTTCTAACCTTAAAATACAATATTAGATGATATTTTTTGTTCTAATACATTAACCTACCTTTGATACAGATATTCTTATATCATAAAAGAAAAGTTAGATTTTTTTAATAAATGCTGCTTATTTAAAACTATTTTATGGAGAAACGTAGACCCAATGCACAAAAATATCACTTATATTGCACCTTACACTTTGGAATTTCATTAAATGCAGTATTTATATTCCTAAATTCTTAAACCAACCATTTTTATTGTGATACTATAAATATTTATTAACTTTTAACGCTTAAACATAAGCGGTAACACTATAAATATTATTTCTTTCGTTGACTATACTTTGACAGATACATAACTTGGAAAGCCTTAAATGCCAAATTTTCCGTACGTGGTCACGTGGTGGGACTTTGAGGTGTGGAGCATAGTACCTTTACTAATTTTTATTACTGTGACACAGGAGAATGCACAGTTGTGCGACGCTGGTATGAAAAATACAAAAAACGTGTTGTGGCTTCAAGATAGTTCAAAACAACATTTCCTACTGAAATCCGTTACCAAGTATATCGCCGCAAGGGGGCAGCACCAAAAAATGTGCGCTTAATTCGAAAGGTGATTTATAATAATAATAATAATATTTTTTTCTGTAATATTTGGAATATATTCTCAACTATATAAAAAGGGGATGTTATTTTACTCTAGGGTGTTTAAATAGCATTAAGTAGTGAATATTATCGGTATGGGCCACTGCTACATGACACACCCTACGAAAAAATGCGTTTGAGCGTTTTTTGAAACACCTCCATTTATGTATTATTGAAATTTTGTATTTTGTTAAAAATTAATTTTTACACTTACGATATTTTGTTGATCCTCAACTAAATATAACCATCAAAATGTTTTTAGTCTCTTATTAACTAAACTATTTTCGCATGAGCCAAAAATCACAAGTTGTTCACTGAGACGCAAATCAAAAATCACTTCGACTCCCAGCGCCCGATTTAACCTGTTCGTGCGCCAATGTGCGGCAAACGGCGCGCCGTAAAATTGAGGCGTGCGTTGCGACGTCGTCCGTAAAACTAAAAGCTGCCGTCGAAACGATCCTGGCAGGCCTCGGAACCACCGCCACCCCCGATTGCGGCTTGTAGCAGAGGGTGGCACTAGTTGCTACTGTCAATGTTTAGATGTCTTCGTTTGTATCGTCAGCCTTGTTCCGACAACTCTTGCTTTCGATGACCAGCTTATATATAGAGCTTTGAGGCAATAATACTTAATTTAAGTAAATATTTTGTTAAATTAACCTTAAAAATTTACTTTGAAGTAAAACTTTTTTTAAAGTTATGAGGGACGTAATTTTTACGAAAGAAAATTACTTACAAGTGTATTTCACCTAAAGGAAAATTTAACGTCAGAATTTTTACTCAATGGTAAATGTTACTCATAAGTCATAATTTTACGATATTAAGACGACTTTATAATCGTAAATAATTCCTATTCGCCTTTTAGGGTTATAAAGATTTTAAAACCGTAAAATATTTATATAATTTTTAAGATGTATCGCGCCTACTTTTATCAATAAAATAATGTGCGTTTGAGTTTTAACGCCAAATATTATTAGTTTTGACAATTTAAGTTATATTTTTTTATTTTACTCTATAGGGTGGCCTTTATTACTTTGTAAGTACGATTTTGTAAAATATAAATTAAAAGAACAAAGAAATTACGAATGTTAATGTTTTAGAAACAGGTAGCAAACTCAGTAATTATAGCATTATTTTTACGTAAATTTCTGGTACTTATATTGTTTTCATTACGTTATTCTCTTAGTATATATGTAGGTAAAATAACGAAATAAACCATTCCCCACTTTTCGTATCTATACCGTTTTGATTAACCGTAAAAAATACTTTAAAGTTGATTTGGTAGTAAATTTGTAGTTATTTATATGAGGCAAATTATTCAGTAATGTTTTTGCATTATTTTCATTAAAGGGTGCTTCTATACACTACAAATTTTTTTGCGAAGCTTCATAATTTCATTATCCGAATTACAGATGTAAATTTTCGCCTAATTTATTTAACTGAAACCGGGACAAAGCGCCATTCCGTTAATTATTCCCACTATGTTTTAAAGTTACTTGGAATGTCGCAGTCAGATTTTAGTCTTTAAAAATTGAAAAATTGACAAAAGCATTAAAAAGTTTTTGTTCAGAAAATAACAGGAATTGTTAAATTTCGCGGGTTATGTTGGTATACATGCCCCCGAAGTATGATAAAAACTTTAGCTGTTTTCATTGTTTACTTTGTCTGTGGCAGCCGCTAAGGTTAGACGTGTTTTATGAGCTCGGCGATTTTTCGTTCGTTAAAAGAAATGGATCAAAGAATTTGTATCCAATTTTGCTTAAAAAATTAAATAAATTCTGTGAAATATTAACAAAGGCCTATAGTGAGTCTGCTATAAGTAAAACAAGAGTTTACAAGTGGTATAAGAGTTTCCAAGATGGCCGTGAAGACGTTGAAGATGACGAACGCCTCGAACGCACAAGCACATTAACAACCGTTAAAACATGGAAAAAGTGGAAGTAATGGTTATAAACCAGAGAAGTCGCTGATGATGTTGGTATATCGATTGGCTCATCCCATGAAATTTTTTCGAATGTTTTGGGTATAAAACGCGTAGCAGCAAAATTTGTTCCAAAATTGTTAAATTGTGAACAAAATTTTTGTCCAAAAACAATACTGTAATGATGCCCCAGCCTCCATATTCGCCAGACATGCCTCTGTTTGACTTTTTCCTATTCCCAAAAATAAAGAGAACCTTAAAGGGCCGTCGTTTTGCAAGCATAGATGACATTAAAAGCGCATCGCTGAAAGAACTAAAGGCTATCCCAAAGATCGAGTTTTAGAAGTGTTTCGAGTATTGGAAGAAGAGCTGGCACATGTGCATAATATCCAATGGGGACTATTTTGAAGGCGACAACATTAATGTAGATGAATAAATAAATATTTGTTTCAAAATATTTTCTGAACACACCTCGTATATATTTGATTGTACTGTAAGTACTTTTTACAGCTAATACTTTAATCTGCTTTATTATACTCCTGTGTGCTAGCTTTAAATAGGAAGGACTCTTCTTTTCTATAGTTGGTAATACGGCAAGGTCCAGTCTTGATTAAGGATTATATGTTGATGAGTCCTCAACTTGTAACAGATGTCAGGATATTAGATCGATCGAGAGATCATTTCGCTTGCTGGAGGGCTCCAATTTCCACGGTTCATTGCTCAAACTTCTTGTCCTTCTGCTGCTATTCCTGTATCCTTGTCAAATCCTTTATTAGATTTGTGAAAATATTTGCCACATTTTCCACATATTGTCTTCCAAACTTCTGCCATAACTCATGAGGCTAGTTTGCATTTTCATAAAACACTATTTTTATATTAAAAATCAATAACGTCAAGCTTGATTTGTTGAAATAAAAAGATTTAGATCATAGCGTGCAATGATAAAAAATAATAATATGGGAATTAAGTTAAATATTAATATGTAGTTAAAAGTGAAATAAATTTTTAAAATTGCTTTTATTTATTTCTGTAACAAAACCGAAAAAATAAAAAACATTGATTTTAAATAAAACCTTTTTTATTTACATCCAATTTAAATAACATCGAATGTTGGCTCAAATCCACCAAAAATAAAAGTGGTGAATATTAAGTTCCCTAGAAACTAGAAAGGTCGGTAGCCGTCTTAAAATAAACACTTAAAATATATACTTCGGGGTAATATGTTTACGTTGAAAGCATCATTAGTACTTTTAAAACATGTGCGCTCTAAAAGCACATTAGACATCGATCATACAAGACATGAAGGGAATAAATAGGTTGATGAAAATTTTGTTTGTTTTTTTATAAAAAAACAAGGTGAATGTTATTGTTATCCTATCAAATTCAAAATTTATCTTTCAACCAAGGGCAAAGTGTTTTTGTTCAAAAGCTATTATTAAACACATTTAAAGAATATGAACATTATTCATTGGTACATTCACACTATTTAATATTAAAATAAATCAAAAGGGTAGAAAAACTTAATGCGAGTGTTTATTACTCCTTAATGTGTTAAAGAGTGACAAAATGTAAACTACAGTGCATGCCAATTTCTTTGTCTGTTTTGATGTTACTAAGAGCTCTTTTTTCTTTACACTACTAGTGCACATTGTATCACAATTAAAGTTAAATTACACCAATAGTGGCAAAATAGACTGAAAAAACTGGTAATAACCGAAATGCGTTTTAAAATGTTTGGTTTATACCTATCTACCTACCCAGTGCATATCCGGAGATACCGCGTTGTGGAAGTGTGGCATTTTTGTTCAGTTAGATTTTAATTACGGTGAATCCGTAAGGGGACATCCTTACTTTTTGGTAAGTATTATACTTCCTTTTTCTTTAAGCCTTAATGCTCAATAAATACCAATATGTTAAAAGGATGTCCATACCCGACCTATATTATATATCAATAACACTGTGCAACACAAAAAATGAACTGGGATCAAATCTGAAAAAATCGAATCTAGGCAACCCCCAAAACAAATCCTTTAAGGGGTTTTACCAGTTTAGCTCGAATAATGGAGATATACAGGGTGTTTCTTTTAACTTAAGACAGCTCAATATCTTGAGAAATATGCAAATCATGGAAAAATGTCTTAAATAAAAGGTTAATGTGACTAAAGGGGACATTATTTGGTGCTACCGCTAGCCACCCCCTACCCCTCCTTAAGGGTGAAACGGGGGGTAACTTTGGAAAGTCAAATGGAATGCGATACCGCCCGACATGTTGGCGCGTTGTGTGCCAGAATTCATTACCCGCATTCAAAAATGTGTTGAAATGGAAGGACGACATTTCGAACATTTGTTATAAATTGTTTTCAGAGCCGACTATTGTTGATTTAATGTTAATTTTTGTTTTTCAAACGTTTCAAATAATACATTTTACAAGGAAACCCCTTTTTCTTAAATTTTGAATTACAGCGCCATCTGTTGATAAATTGAAAAAAACTTTCAAATAAAAGTTATTCATTTTTTTATGTACTACCAAACTCTGTGAAAATCGGGTCATTCCATTTGATTTTCCAAAGTTTCACCCTTAAGGAGGGGTAGGGGGTGGCTAGCGGTAGCACCAAATAATGTCCCCTTTGGTCACATTAACCTTTTATTTAAGACATTTTTCCGTGAAATGCGTATTTCTCGAGATATTGAGCTGTCTCAAGTTAAAAGAAACACCCTGTATATTTCCATTATTCGAGCTAAACTAGCAAAACCCCTTTAAAGATTAGTTTTGGGGGTTGCATAGATTCGATTTTTCCACATTTCATCCCAGTTCAAATTGTAAGGTCAAAATTTGTCGCACAGTGTAATTTACGGCAGTATGTAACTTGTAACATTAATAATATAAATACATACACAATTGATTTACTTTTTATTTTTAAGCGTAATGGTTGTTATATTAACCTATACCTACATTTTTATTAATATTATGGAAAATTTGGTGGTAAATCCCCGACATACAGCCGCCTGACGCCTCTCTACCAATGGGATCACCCATTTTTTAAAGCAGAAAAATGGATTACTGATGAGTTCTCAAGATAATGAATTGCTTACAAGTTGACAGCCAGTAAAACATTGCATTGATCTAAAACTTTTACGTTTTAAGGAACCATTTTGCTTAAGCCAGCCATACGACTCAAATATAAAATTAAATTTTAAAAGGCACCGATTTTGATAATTGTCATAGATTTTTGTTCCAAATAAATGTTTCTCTTTATTTACTTTTTCGTTTTATTTACTACCATCAATAGGTTTTATTCAAGTAATAGTGTTAATTTACACTGAACTAAAGTGGGATTTTACCCAGCAAGTGTAGATGTACACGATTTTAGGTAAATTAACATTTTTTAAAACAGTGTAAAATTACTTTATCCTCAGTGCTATAGTGTTTTGGGATTTTAACAAGAAAACTGCATCTCTCTAAAAAACGTTTTCTTCATTCGTATACGAAAAATAAGAGAAAAA